GAGGCCAAAGAAGAGTTTGCAAGCAAGCTCTTCTGATTTCTCCATGGATCGGATCCTCTCAGATGATCAAATTTTGCAGCTCATCAGACGTTTTTTAGTATTCTTTTCTGTATCTATAACATCGCCTAGAGATGGGTCCACAAATTTCATTGTTTTCTATATACTCAATTTGTTCATTCATTGTAATTGTAAACAAACAGTACATATATATTCAATTCCTTCATTCATCTATGCTATATGTCTCTCTCTCTCTTTTTGTTTTTTTTTGATCCGTGGTACATGTATATATATATACCTGCAGATTGGTCATTTATAAAGCAACTCCCTAAATTGGGGCAATACTTAGCTCCTACCCGGTCACGAGGACATTTTCAAGGTAAATTTTAGAGTACCTTTAGGGTTAGGGGCCTTGGGTTTATGGGTTAGATGTAAAACCTAAAAATCAAGAGGTGGTATGCTTTAATCCGCCCATGATGGCTCGGAGCCAAATAAAGAATTTTGCCATTTTGTGGGGTATTTTATTTCTTTTTATCAAATGTGGGCTATTTATTCTCACTCTCCTAGCTATAATCTTCTTTTCACTCGAACTCGTACATCGCATAGGTATTATAAATATGTATTAAAATTTTGAGAAGGTCATTGTCCCACTTGTTATTGTACTATTGATGATTTGATTGCTAACCTATTCATGCATGTTTTATGGGGCAATTGCAAGAAAATACCACAAAGATGAAGACAGAGAGGTATTGACTTCGAGTTCGTATTTGCTGTTTCCATGGTTGCATCAAAATGTTCCAACTTCCCAATAAAATATGAAGATGCTGGGGTCCAACCAAAAAGCAGATCAGCTAATGTTTTGAATTTAAAACAAACAGATTGTGTCAGAATTTTGTTGGGTGATGACAAAATTTGCTGTCACCATGGTTGTAGCATACCTTTCCTCATTGACTTTACGGATGCTGAATATATATGACTTTTTTAATATATCTAAGGTTTCTATTTTCGATTTTAAAATATAAAATTAAATTAGTAACGAAGAATCTAATGGGATGGGACGTTGCTTGACTTTAAAGGGAAGGCAACCCATATGTTGACCTAATGACCTTTACCCCGGGTATTAATGATAAGAGCTTCCAAATGTTCTCCTCCACTCTTAGTATTCCGAGAGAGTTTATTAAACAACTGCTTCGTGAAGGCTATTTAACGTCTTCTATTTAGTTTGTTTTGTTCTTTTTTTAAGTATTACTGGTTGGGCTTTCTCCTATTCTTCTGTTTCTTCTTTTTTATAATGATTTATAAAATTTCAGGTAATCATCTCTCCAATTCAACTAAATTTAGGCTGTGTTTGTTTTTATTATAACGTTATTGGCATGGTTTTCAAAACTGGACTGGATCAAATGGTCGGATCAGAAAAACCAGGAACTGGTCAGGCGATCGGTTCCATTTTTCCCCAAAACAGGATTTTCTCAAAAAATCATTGATTTTGGTTAGTAAATCGCTGACTCGGGCGGTTAACAGTTAATTTTGGTCTGCAAACCGCTGACCATTTTTTAAATTTTTGTTAGAACGGGCCAACTGTTCGGTTCAAAAGGTTGGAACGTTCGACCCAATAATCAGACCCTTGACCGGTTTGGTCTCTGGGTCGTTTTAAACATGGTTTTAAAAGCCGACCTAGAAACGGAACCGCTCTAGCTACCGGTTTTCGGGTTAGCAGTTCTATTGTCTGGGTCGAACGGTTCGGACGATTTGTATATTAAGGCAAATATTTTATACGAGTTATGAGATTTGAGAAAGGTTATCGGCTAAGAAAGAAAAAAAAAAAAAAAAAAAAGAAAAGAAAGAAAGAAAGGAAAAAGGAAAAAATAAAAGAAAATAAAGGAAAGAAGGCCATGTTTGTTTGAGGTGGAAAATCGAACTGGAGTAAATTTTACACCCCGGTTTGTTAATATTGCCTATGTAAAAGTCCATTCTCACCAATATTTACATTGAAAATCAATGAAAATTTTACATTGATAAAATCGATGTAAACTTTTCCTTCTTCTCCGTCAAATGGTCTCCTCTATACGAAGAGTCGAAGAGAGAGTGAGAAGACCTCCTCTCCTCTGATCGTGAGAATCCCCCTCTATCTAATGGTCTTCGTCCAAAGAAGAGCTCGTCGGCCATTAACATTCTATCACCATCCATTAACATACTCAAAGCGCGGGCTTATCGAGATGAAATCATTGTCGTCAATGGAGAAAGAGATCCGCAGGCTCAATGTCAACTCCATGGAGTTTTAGAGTAGATCTCCTTCCAAACCGAGCCTAAGGCAAAGGGTTTGGGTTTCCTGCACTAAGGTCGGCTCTAGCCTTTAGGTTTATTTATTTAACAGACTGAACTGCCTCACCTACAAACCTTCATTTCTAATCGTTGGAAAATATTTTCCAATTTTCCAACTCTACTAGCTCCTCCTCAATCCCTCTCTACCGCTCATTGCATTCTGCGACTAGGTGTTGGAAATACTGAATCCTCTTGAGGCTGCCTGAAACTGCCAACACATCTCTGCCATCCTTCCTTGCATTTGAGTATCCTATGATTCTTTTAGCTTCATCATCAAGAATCGATACCCATCTAAGGATCTGAGGAGATTCTCTGAGAGAAGCTTGTTATGCTCTTGCAGCGCAGCAGCGTTCCTTTCCTCGTCTCCTCTTCTACAGTTGCAGTATTTTTTCTGGCAGTGCAAGCTTGGACCTTGGCCAATAACATCTTGTTCTGTGCTTTATCATCATTGAGGAACTCCTCTGTGTCTTTTAGTTGTGAACCTTTCGAGCAAGCTCCCTTGCTATTATCTCCTCCTTCCCCAAGCCTGAGAACATCCGTTCCAGGTTCTTCTATGCCGCCATGCTCGCACTGAGTTTCAAAGCAGAGCAGAGTTTCACTTTTACATCGAAACAACCAAACAACATGAGAGAAGAATTCCAAAACACCCTAGTTCAATTTTCGATTGATCACTAAACCGGGATCAAATTTTCCATCCGTGTAAATTTAAATTTACACCTCTACCAAACACAGCCGAAGGAGGAGGGAAGGAGGGAATAAAAAAGAAGAAGATGGTGGTTCGACGCTCACCGGCAATGATAATGGCGACGGTGACGGCGAAGCGGTGGCAACAAACATAGATCTGAGATCCAAGTTCTCAGATCTTCTTCTTCATCATCATCATCATCTTCTTCTTCTTCTTCAGATCTGAGATATGAATTCAGATCTGATTTCATGTGTTTCTCTCTTGCAGCTTTATACTGCAAACGGCTGTCTGGGTCAAATGAGTCAATAGTTTGACCATCCGGATCTGGTCAGCGATGGTTCAAAAACATTGGTTTTAAAAACCATGGTTATCAGTTTGCATGTTCTCGTGTTTATTTCCAGTGTAAATATGGATTGTTATAAAACTCTTTTTCCGATTTATATTTTCATGCGTTTGTTTTCAATGTAAGGTTTACAATGAAAATCAATGTAAATCTCCCCATCCTTTGTATTTTACATTGACAATTGATATACTTTTACATCGATTATCACATAAAAATTGTTCCAACAACAGTTAACTAAAATTTTAATCCCATCGGAATTGAACTCCACTAGTTGAGTTTTACCTCGATGGAATTTATACTGAAAACAAACTCAGCGTTAGGGGTTAAAAGAAAATTTCTATTTGTCTTTTAAGATCACATGATGAACCTTGTGCTGATAACCAACAGAAACTGACCGCTCAATGTTACAATTTAGAAAGACAGTAATGGTTGGATTCTTGGGTAATAAACTATTAGGAGAATAATAACAATAAACGAGTAGCCATTTCGGTGGGTCTTTACGTCAATACATCTATGAAAAAGACAACAAAGCTGGGTAATTAATTAAAAAGGTGTAGTATTCCTGATTAGAGGTGCAAATGGGGTACCCAATTTGAAACATTTACGTCAGGCCAAGGCTTCCTGGGGTATTGGAAATTTAACAAAATCCCAACTCAAAGTCTGCTCAAATTGTACTTTTATTCTTCATGATTTAATATATTTGATGAATCTGGATTAGTTGAACGCTTTAGCTGTGTGGCGGGCTGTGGAATTAATGATAATGTTTTCACCCCATTGATAAAAGTAGATCAGATAAATACAATATTGTAAGTACGTTCGATGAACATTTAGAAAATATTTTGACATTTATATTTTAAAATATTCACAATTTATCCTTGAAAAAGATTAAAATCCACTTTTAATAGTTGTCAAAATATTTATCAAATATTTACTATATTATGCCTACTACATCCAGTCCCTGATAAACGAACCCACATTGAGGGGTTAAATGTTTGTGGGTCTCATGTATTTTATAACTGATGTGGAACATTATTCTTGATTAATAGCGCATATTGAATTGCTATTACTTTCAGCTAAACCTATCTCATATTTGATAGGTGTTGGATAAAAAAATGAATTAATCATTTATGGTGAACAGAAAACAAATGATCATATGTAATTGGATGAGGATGTGATATGTAACTTGGACGGGACCTACAAGTAGAACCATGCATGGGAAAACAAGTAGGATGTGTTATATACTCTAATATTTATTCTTTTAAGTTTATATTGATAATACCTATGAAAGATTATAAAAAATTAAAAACTATGTTAATTTTATTTTAAATTTTAAATTTTTATTTTCATTTGAACAAATTGAACGATTGAATTGGCCATTGGATTAATTGGGATATCGAACTGTTTGACCCATGACCCAGTCACTAAAATGATTCCATGTGTGATCAAAGTCTGAGTCTGACAACATGTATTGATTTCTTCAATAAATATTACCAGTTGGTGTGATGGTCCTATTGATTCTTCCGGCCAACAAACATTATGTAAAAAATAAACTGAAAACACTACTTTCCAGCATTGTAAAAATTTTACGTATCTACTCTCAAGGTTTAACTATTTCAACTATTTGGAACATGCACACCGGATACCCCCTCTCCCTCTACCCAATTTTGGGGCCACGAAATGATATAAACAATCTGACCACTTGTCCGGTCCAGGTCTCACGGTTGCTTGGGTTATGAGTCTCGCAAAATAAAAACGGAAAAATACAGATAGGTCTATTGCATATTTTTGATTTCCACTTCAGATCTATAAATTAAATACTTTGAGTTGGTATTAATTTTGAGCCCGCATCTACCCTAGATGTATTTTGAGCCTAAAAATTCTGATTCTCCCAAATAAAAATCCATATAATGGTCTAATCAGAACTAGAAAGACCAATTCAAAGTGTTAAATGGCCTATCGAGATTGAAGTGACAGCCTCATTTGGTAAGTCTTTTCGGTAACTTAATCATTCAAATTTGTTCTTATTGTATTCATTTTGAAATTATGAGAAGTGAACGTTGAGACTAGTAGACTTCCGAGTACAGAACGTTAAACTACGAAGATAGAAAAGAAAAGGTTGGGATCCTGGTCTTGTCTACGACATCACCGTTGATGATCCTGGTCTTATTGTATTCACGTGTGACGCCACCAAGAAAGTAGCGTCATTGATCTCAACTACCCTTCCTTTGCCGTCCCGTTCGACACCGCAGAGTGGAGGAACTACCGCTGCGACTTGAATCCACGGAGACGGAGTTGAAGACGAAGAATAGTGATTTCGATTGACATTTCAGTTCGATGGAGATGAGGAAGAGAAAGGGAGAGAGAGAAAAACTGAGAAAAAAAATGAGGAACAGTAGATGTTTTGGTCATAAATGGAGGCGACTTGAATCCATCGCCGCCGCTGTTCGGGACGATGAACAGTATTCGCCATTTAGGGGTATTTTGATCATAAAAATTATATTTGTGCTGACGTAGACAATTTTCGCCGATGAATATTAACGATACTTTGACGGATGGTGAATTTTGAAAAATGAAAACTTAGTGAATTTTGAAAAGTTATGGTCATAAAAAATGGATGATGAATTTTGAACAATTTCCCAAAAATAATAAAAAGGCTCCATTTGAAACTTTCTCAAAATAGGCTAAAACGGGTTTTTTGCATCTTTTTGACACCTTATTAGCTTTTAACAACTAAATCTACTACAAACCAAACGGATAAAAAAACGCAAAGACGATCAGCAGACTGAACGCACAGAAAGACGTGCCAAACGGGGGCAAGAGTACAGAGTCTGCCCGTTTCAACGTTTTACTGTTTATTTTCTGTTGAAAGTCAAACATAAGAATGCAGACAGCAGATCCCGTCTCACAGCAAGAGAAGGGGAGACCAACCAAAACAAAGAAACAGTCCAACCTCTGATCCATTCAAAATGTTGACAAGGACTGAATTATTATCTTTTCATTTCTCTAGATCTCTTCTCTCCTTCGTTATATAAATGAGATCAGGAAAGTCAGCTGCTCCATCGTCTCACACATCTTCAAGCCAATTAATCCAAAAGCCTCCCAATACCCACCACCAAACAACAGCAATAAAAGGCGAAGACAAGTAGCAGATTATTAAACATGGAAGCCCTTGGATCTTCTAGCCTCGTGTGTTCGTCGTTCCGGTCATCGTCACGTCGCCAAAGAAGAATACAAGCTACTCTCCAGATCCCAAAAACCCCATCCAATTTCCTCTCTCTTCCCACGCTTCCTGCCGGGGACTTGGTGGAGGAAC